CCTCTCGCTGTGGCCACACCGCACCCCCCCCCCCCCCCAATCCCCCGATCTGACGCACGTTGATTTGAGCTATTAATCTCTGACTTGAGGCCTTGTCGGAAGCCTTGTGCAGAGCCGTCGAGTAGGGAGGGCAGACCCTTCGGCCCAACCCGTCCATGCCGGCCCATTTATCCAGTCCCCATTTGCCAGCCTTTGGCCCCGTATCCCTCTAAACCCTTCCTATCCATGTCCCCATCCAGATGCCTTTTAAATGTTGTCATTGTACCAGCTACCCCCACCCCACCCCCCACCACTTCCTCTGGCAGCTCGTTCCACACACGCACCACCCTCTGCGTGAAAAAGTTATCCCTTTCCCCCTCTCACCTTAAACCTATGCCCCTCTAGTTTTGGACTCCCCCCAACCCCTGGGGGGAAAAGACCTTGTCTATTCATCCCATCCATGCCCCTCATGGTTTTATAAACCTCCATAAGGTCACCCCCTCAGCCTCCGACGGTCCGGGGAAAATAGCCCCAGCCTCTCCCTGTAGCTCAAACCCTCCAACATGGGCAACATCCTTGTAAATCTTCTCTGCACGGTCTCAAGTTTCACAATAAAGTCACATCTCAAAAAATTTCAGTGAGAGCTAGTGCGTACGCAGCAGTGCGTGTGTGTGTCTCTATGAGATTTAGTGCTTGTGTTTCTCTCTCTCTGAGAGTCAGTGCGTGTCTCTCTCTCTCTGAGAGTCAGTGCATGTCTCTCTCTCTCTGAGAGTCAGTGTCTCTCTCTCTCTGAGAGTCAGTGCGTGTCTCTCTCTCTGAGAGTCAGTGTGTGTCTATCTCTCTCTGAGAGTCAGTGTGTGTGTGTCTCTCTCTCTGAGAGTCGGTGCGTGTCTCTCTCTCTGAGAGTCAGTGTGTGTCTATCTCTCTCTGAGAGTCAGTGTGTGTGTCTCTCTCTCTGAGAGTCAGTGTGTGTGTGTCTCTCTCTCTGAGAGTCAGTGTGTGTGTGTCTCTCTCTCTGAGAGTCAGTGTGTGTGTCTCTCTGAGAGTCAGTGTGTGTGTGTCTCTCTCTCTGAGAGTCAGTGTGTGTGTGTCTCTCTCTCTGAGAGTCAGTGCATGTCTCTCTCTCTGAAAGTCAGTGCGTGTCTCTCTTTCCCTGAGAGTCAGTGCGTGTCTCACTCTCTCTGAGAGTCAGTGCATGTCTCACTCTCTCTGAGAGTCAGTGCATGTCTCTCTCTCTGAGAGTCAGTGCGTGTCTCTCTTTCTCTGAGAGTCAGTGCGTGTCTCACTCTCTCTGAGAGTCAGTGCGTGTTTCTCTTTTTGAGACTCAGTGCGTGTCTCTCTTTCTGAGAGTCAGTGCGTGTGTGTGTCTCTCTGAGAGTCAGTGTCTCTGAGAGTCAGTGCGTGTGAGTGTCTCTCTCTCTCTGAGAGTCGGTATGTGTCTCTTTCTCTCTGAGAGTCAGTGCGTGTCTCTCTCTCTCTGAGAGTCAGTGCGTGTCTCTCTCTCTCTGAGAGTCAATGTCTGTCTCTCTCTCTCTCTGAGAGCCAGTGTGTGTCTATCTCTCCCAGAGAGTCAGTGCGTGTTTCTCTTTTTGAGACTCAGTGCGTGTCTCTCTTTCTGAGAGTCAGTGTGTGTGTGTGTCTCTCTGAGAGTCAATGTCTCTGAGAGTCAGTGCGTGTGTCTCTCTCTCTCTCTCAGAGTCAGTGCGTGTGTCTCTCTCTCTGAGAGTCAATGTCTTTCTCTCTCTCTCTCTGAGAGTCAGTGCGTGTGTCTCTCTCTCTCTCTCAGAGTCTGTGCGTGTGTCTCTCTCTCTCTCTCTCTGAGAGTCAGTGCGTGTATGTTCCTCTCTCTTGGAGTATTGTGTGCAGTTTTGGGCCCCATATCTCAGGAAGGATGTACCGGCCCTGGATCGGGTTCAGAGGAGGTTCACGAGAATGGTCCCAGGAATGGAAAGCTTAACATATGAGGAAAGTTTGAGGACTCTGGGACTATACTCGGAGTTTAGACGAAAGAGGGGGGATCTAATTGAAACTTACAGAATACTGAATGGCCTGGACCGAGCGGATGTTGGGAGGATGTTTCCATTTGTAGGAGAGACTAGGACCCAAGGGCACAGCCTTAGAGTAAAGGGAAGACCTTTTAGAACGGAGATAAGGAGAAACTTCTTCAGCCAGAGAGTGGTGAATCTATGGAATTCACTGCCACAGAAGGCTGTGGAGGCCAGGTCATTGAGTACATTTAAGGCTGAGATAGATAGGTTCTTGATTATCAAGGGGATTACAGGGAGAAAGCGGGAGAATGGGCTTGAGGAACTTATCAGCCATGATTGAACGGTGGAGCAGGCTCGTTGGGCCGAATGGCCTAATTTCTAATCCTATGTCTTATGGTCTTATGGTCCATCTCTCTCTTTCTGTCTGCGAGACTGTGCCTCTCTGTCTCTGAGGCAGTGTGATTTGGTTTGATTCATTATGGTCATGTGTACCTACGTGCAGTGACAAGTTTTGTTTTCATACCGTACATGCAGAAAGACCATAACATACAGAGTTCGTAGGGCGATTGAACAGAGCGAGAACCTACAGCTGCACAGAAGGCGCGTAAAGTGCAAAATCAACTTTAGATTTGAAATTGGAGAGATCCGCGCAGCAGTCTAGTAATGGTGGGGAATTAGCTGTTCTTGAACCTGCTGGCATGTGTGTTTAAGCTTTAGCGTCCATCTGTCTCTGTCTCTCTATCTCTCTCTGAGAAACAGAGTGTGTGAATTTCTCTCTCACTGAGAAACAGTGTGTGCATGTCTCTTTCTCTGAGTCAGAGCGTGTACCTTTCTCTCTCTCTCTCTCTCTGAGAAACAGTGTGTGCATTTCTCTCTGT